GGGAATCAGACACCGTCATTCTAGCGCTGGTACTCCCACTTACTAGCTGTGTGACCTCAAGTAAGCCCTGACCCTCTCTGGGCCTCAGTTGCCACAACAGAAAAATGGACTAGATGTTTGATGCAAGCTGCCTGCCTCCATCCCCAGGCAGGAAGAACTGCCCTACGTCCGTGTGCCCCCAGCCCTCTGAGCATCCTTCAGAGGGCTGGTCCTCATACCAGCCAGTTTTTTAAAAACCAAGAGTGCTACTTACCAGCTGTGTGGCAAGTTCCTTACTATCTCTGTGCCTGTTTTCTCTTTTGTAAAATGAGCATTATACTGTTACCTACCCCATTAGGTTTTTGTCAGGATTAAATGAGTTAATAAATGTAAAGGTCTCAGAACAGTGCTATGGAAGAGTTAGCTAGTAGTACCGTTGCTATTTCCACCAGAGCGAGTCTCAGAGAGCCATCTCTGGCTCCCCACAGCAAGCCTGGTTCAAGGTCCCTTCACCCCATCCTCTCAGGGTCTGCCCTTGTGCCTGTGGGGAGCCCCAGTCCCCGCCTTCGGCCCCCAGGAGTAAGAGGCCTGGGTCTGGGCCCCACCAGGGGCCAGTCCTGACACCCAAGATGGAGCAGGTCTCCAAGAGGCCCCCTCCCAGACATGACAGGAGGGAAGTAAATGACCTCTACCTCCCACCCTAGCCTTGCCTTTCAAGCTCTTGGGCTCTGGCCCCCAGCCCTATCCATAATGGTGCACTTGACCATTTGCCCCACCCCCGGGAGGACCTCAGGTGAGAACTGCAGATCTCAATACTCTGCTTAGAAGCCTGCAGTGGCTCCCCAGGTCCCTCTGGGAAAAAGCCAGAGTCCTCTTAATGGCCTCAGGCCCTGATGCAGGATCCTTGCTTGGGTCATGGACCCCCTCATCAATCTGGGGAAGCCTATGGACCTTTCTCAGAATATTGCTTTAAATTGAATAAAATAAAATACATAGGGTTATTAGATTGGAAAGGAAACCAATCATATTCAAGTGCAGCTATTGACATGCTTTTTAGAACAAATTTGTTACATAATGACATATGTTTCTGTATTAACCCATTATATAACACAACCTAGTGACAGGACTGACAACTACTGCAATGTTGAAGTCGTGATGAGTGTAACGGCAACAACCGTGAAGTGATGAAAATATCTGATTCCTAGTGGTGACACTGTCACGGGCACCTCTAACACTACTCATAATTGAAGAAAAGGCTACATGTCAGGTTGAGATTACTGAAAATAAACATGTAATTTTCCCATCCTAGTTCAAGGACTCTCTGAATATGTCCCTGGATCCCGGGTCTGGGAGTCTCGATTATAAGTCCCAATGCACGCTCCTTTCTGACCTCCTCTGCCTTCCTCTCCCCAACCTCTGCTCCAGCCACACTGGCCTCCTCACACGGGGCCTTTTCAAACACGTCAGACATGCTCCCACCCCCGGGCCTTTGCACTGGCCATCTGTGTGCCTGGAACAGTCGTCCCCAGATCCCTTTGTAGACTACTCCCTCACTTCCTTCAAGCCTTTGCTCACAGGTCACCTTCTCAGAGAGGCCAGCCCCGACGGGTCACCCTGTTTAAAATTGTCACCTGTCTCCCTGGCACCCCCGATTCCCTTTACCTTGCTGTATTTTTTTCTTTCTTCTGATGCATTCATCATCTTTGGACATGCCCTATCGATATAACCTTGTTAACAGTCTGCCCCCACTAGAATGCCAGCTCCCTGAGGGCAGGGGTCTTTGTTCACGGCTGAGTCTCCCATACTTAGAACAGGACCAGGCACAGAGTAGCCACTTGATAAATAAGTGTTGGAAAGTGACACATTTGTAAACCATAATAGGTATTACCTTAAAAAAAAAAGGTATTTGATTCTGTAAAACTAAAACTGCTCTAAGATATAAAGTTTATTTAAAATAAGTTATTTGAGATCAATAAACTGAGGCTCAGAGACTCTTTAAGTGTCTTTTACAAAGTCACACAGCAACTAAATGACTGAGAAGAGACACCAACCCAACCCATCACAGTTTGCCTCCTAAACAAGGGCTTGAGTGAGGAGGGATGGTGCCTGACCATGACAATGAAACACCAGTGGGTAAACTTCAGGCATCCGCAGGGAAGATTGTCTGCCCAGAGATGGTTGATGTTTGTTCATACTGAGCAGTGACCACCTGAGTCTGGTCCAGCCCCCAGGAGGCAGAAATGGCAGATGGCCTTGGTGACTGCATGCCCTTCACCTGGGCCTGGCTTCCTCCCGTATACCCCTCCCCCACAGGATGGCACATGGCTCTGGCCTGCAGCTCAGCTAAAGGAGCAAGTCTCCTTGGCTGCTTGCCGAAGTGACCCAAGGCAGCTCCAAGCAGGGACTGTTATGCCTCTAAAGATAGTCCCCTTCCCAGGCAGCACCCCCACCTGGCACCCTCCCTGGAGTCCCAGGTCACGGTCCAGGAGTGGTCCCTGGGGGCAGGTGCCATGCCAGGACAGAGTCCAAATGTCTGGACATGCCAAGGGCAAAGGCTTGCTTTGGTTTCTGTTTCCTCCCATTCAGAGGCCCCAGCTTGGCCCAGAGGCGGGATGACTGGGCAGAGCCAGATCTCTGAGGCTGGAGGATGCCAGGATAGGCAGGAAGGGAATGGAGCGGTTTGGCTGCAGACGAAAGAACTCCAGCCTCAACTGCTCTGGGGCTGCTCCAGGGCACGGTCACCACCCATGAGCTCAAATATACCCATACACAGGCACTCTCGCCCATGCATACTCACTCATGTCCACACTAATGCACACGCACTCACACAATACTTGAATACTCACACTTGACTGGTACGCTCATCCATACACACCCACACGTATGCACACACATGCACACAGACACACACGCACATTTGCTCATTCACACAGGTGCCGCTTATGCTCAGGCACATGCGCTCACACACTTGCACACTCACACACCCAGACCCAACAGCTGCCACCCCCGCGTGCTCACTCTCTGCCACAGCTCCTCCCCTCTCTTAGACAGACCCAGCAGTTCCCTCCCACGGCCCTGTCTCCTGCGTGGTCTGAATATAGTGTCAGCTCCCAGCAGGCCTGCAGCCCCTGGTTTTCCTAATGAGAAAGAGGAGGCTCAGGAAGGGGCAGCGATAGCTCTGAAGTCACACAGCATTGCCATGGCAGAGACAAGGTGAGGACCCGAGTGCCTGCCTCCCAGTGCCATCTGCAGGACCTGCTTTTGGCAAATGGAGCAAATGAATCTGTGAAGGAGTGTTGGAGGTTCGGGGGCTAATTACCTGTCCCTCCCCACAGTTCACTAGATAGAAGGAAGTGTTCTTGTTAGCTGTAAGTGTGAGGCATGAAGCAGTCTAGGACATCAGCCAGGGGGTGTAGGACAGTCTGTGTGTGTGTGTGTGTGTGTGTGTGTGTGTGTAGTGATGTTAGAATCCATGTATTAATCTCCTGTGCTGGGACTTCACCCATGTCATCCCATCTCAACCTTGAGCCAGCCTTGAAGGAGTGGATTACATTTCTCATGTCACAGAAACTAGGGATCAGAGAGGCCAAGTAACTTGCCCAAGGTCACACAGCAAATACACAGCAGAGCCAGGCTTCCAGCCCAGGTCTGTCTGCCTTCAAAACCTAGTCTAATGCAAGTAGCTAAGTCACATTACCTCTACTGTATTCCAGGCACTGTTCCTCAGGGACTACTGATCTAATTCTTACAACAGCCCCCTGAGGGAATTGCTAGTGGGACTCCCATGGGACAGGTGAGGAAACTGAGGCACACAGATGGAAAGCTATTTGTAAAGCTAAGCCATCCAGCAAGTAAGTGCTAGAGCTGGGGTTTGAACTGGCATAAGCTGGCACCCAGTCCAAGGTTCTAAACATGACCCCAGGCTGCCCCTTCTGGGCTTTTAACTCCTGGCATCGGGAGAGAGGCTGGGGATGTTTAGTCCCCAGAGCTTCCAGCTGGGCGTGTGGGGACATTGATGCTCAGGAGGGGTGGAGTCACTTACCATCTTTTTGCTGGGGCACCTTGGACAAGTCCAACCTTTTTGTCTCAGTCCACAGAAGGGGACAGTTGAACTAGGTGATCTCTAACTGTCTTCCAGCTCAGAGAGGTTGGGCTGGCTCAGGACATGCCCCAGCCTCAAGGCTCCCTATTAGCTTCCACCAGTTCAAATGTTTGTCTGGGACCCCCTAGAGACATAGGGAAAGACGAAGGAGGGGGCAGGCCCAGGACACCCTGGAAGGAGCCCCTGGGGTAGAGACAACTGATCTGGGAGTCAGGAACAAGTTCTTCCAGGTTTAGGTCTGCTGCTAAATTGCTGTGTGTCTTTGGGTAAGTTACTTGCCCTCTCTGGGCTTTTGTTTTCTCATCAAGAAAAACAGGGAGATAGTTCCTGTTCTGCCCTCCCTAGAAGGCTGTTGTGAACATCCAACAACCAGATAGGAAGGTGTTTGGGGCAGTGAAGGGCTTGACCAATGTTGGCAAATTACTTTCACCTCACTTTGTTTCTCAAACAATTTGAAAAAATTAGCTGCTGATGATAAGAATTTCTGCAAATTTCCTGGGCAACTCCATCCCTGGAGGCCAGGTTGAGAGTCCAATCATGATAATGATAATTGTGAATTGAGTACCATTTATATACCAGACATTCGGGTGGGACTATTAACACTTCCGTTTTGCAAATAAGGAAACTGAAGCTCGGAAAGTTTAAAGATTCTGCCCAAACTCACACAGCAGAACCAGGAATCCTATCCCGGGTATGTGCAGCTGTGAAACCCAGCCCCGCAACCACCAGGCCCTAGGCCCCTGGGAGATAACCCCCACCCCACCCCACCCCCAACCAGGTGCCCAAGAGTGGGCTGGAAGCAACAGTGTCCCCTCCTGTGTGTGACCTCTGACCTCCCTCCCCACATGCCCCACCCCACCTGGGCAGAATGTCCCCGTGTGTCCGCCCGCCTTCCCCGCTCTGACCCTGGCACCTGCAGGTGCGGCTGGTGATCGCGGAGAAGGGCCTGGTCTGTGAGGAGCGGGATGTGAGCCTGCCACAGATCGAGCACAAGGAGCCCTGGTTCATGCGGCTCAACCTGGGCGAGGAGGTGCCCGTCATCATCCACCGCGACAACATCATCAGCGACTACGACCAGATCATCGACTATGTGGAGCGCACTTTCACGGGAGGTACGGCTGCCGCATCCACCAGGGACCCCTCCGGCTCCGACCTGGTCCCAGAGCCTTGGGGAGCCTGGGGAAAGCCACTGGGGCCATGGGCAAGGCCCAGTCTGCCTGGAGAGGAACCATGGGGCTACAGGCAGGGCTCAGATGCCTCCCAGGAACTGCATAGCCTCAGATCCCGGGGAACCCACAAACCCCCTTCCTGGTGCTCCAGGGGAAGGGCATGGTCCAGACACCCTCCCCCCCCACTTGGAGCTCTGGGGCTAGAGCCTCTTTCCCCAGGAACTGTGGAGTCACAGGCATGGTCACAGACCCTTGGTGTCCCCTCAGGCATGGGCAGAACCCAGACCCTGTTCTAAGTCCCCACAGACAGGGCCCAGATCCCCCAGGGACACCAAGACACCAGTAGCCCCAGCCCCCTGAAGCCCTGTAAGCATAGCCAGGGCCATAGACTCCCAAGAAACACACAGACATGAGCCAAGATGTCCTAGAGCCTTGCAGACAGAGTAGGGTGGACATCCCAGAACCCTGCAGAACGCTATGTCCCCTCCCCGTCTCTCCCGCTGGCCTTGCCCCTGTTCAGGAGCTCACTGCCCACAGCAGCAGGATCAAGGCCCACTGTTTAAAAAGAATATGAATTAGTTGCCAACAATTAAAAATCAAGGAGAGTTCAGTTTTAAGCATCCAGGCTTCCAGCTTCTCTTGGAGTCTGGCAACAAGGGGCCCAGACCCCCACCTGCCCCTCAGGGGACAGCTTGGAGGGCTCCAGTGAGGAGAGGTAGGCGGGCTGGACCACTGGGATCCCCTTTCAGCTCGATGGGCCTTTATCTCAAGGAGTCTGGGAAAGGGGGTGGGCCCGGGACCTCTGGGCCATGGCATTTCGGGGTTCCAGGATGCTGGAATTGGGGTTTTGGGGTGCCAGAGGCTGGGCTCTCTGAATCGCGGGTGGGTGGTGGAGACAGGGCTCATGCCCGCAGTCCAGCCCCGGCTGTGCCTCACAGAGCACGTGGTGGCCCTGATGCCCGAGGTGGGCACCCCACAGCACGCACGGGTGCTGCAGTACCGCGAGCTGCTGGACGCACTGCCCATGGATGCCTACACGCACGGCTGCATCCTGCACCCCGAGCTCACCACCGACTCCATGATCCCCAAGTACGCCACGGCCGAGATCCGCAGTGAGTGCCCGGGGCGGGGCGCACGAGCCCCCTCACTGACCCCCTTCTTTGCTCACCTTCTCCCTTTCAATAGGAGTCCTCCCTCCTCCTCCTCCTCTTCCTCTCGTTCGTGTGTCTCTTATTCTCCTTCTTCCTCTCTCTCTCTCTCTCTCTCTCTCTCTCTCTCTCTCTCTCTCTCTCTCTCCCTCAGTTTCACTCTTGTTCTGTATCTCTCTGCCTCTTGCTTGCTTGCTTTCTCTCCACCACTCTCTCTGGTCTTTCATCGCGTTCACTCTCTCCCTCTCTGGCAGTCTCTCTCCCATTCCCCTCTCCTGGCCCCTACTCTTCTCTTTCTATCCCATACGGAGGCTCATCTTGCTCATGAGGAGCTGGGGCACCTCCTCACAGGAGTCCCAGCCCCAGACACCTAGAGCTGGGGCCCAGGGAAGTCAGTGCTCTATTTGGCAGCCCAGACCACTGAGTGATATCAGGGTTGGCGTCACCAAGGAAGGATGCCCAGATATGGCAAGGCCCCCCCGTAGGGTCTCTGGTTTCTGATTCAAGCATCACCTATGTACTGTCCTAATGGCCAGCCTGGACTTGTCCATGGCCTAGTTCATCCTTTTGTTTCCAGCACTCAGTAAATGGGGGTTGGATTAAATCAGGTTACCCATCAACAACTGTTTAGAGACTGGTCCAGGCTCTGTGCAGGCACCATGGGGTCCTATAGACAGAAGGAGAGGGACGATTTTAAGTATAATTGATAATAGGTGCTCAGTAAATGGTCACATCCTCCCTCTCAAAAGAATGAGGCTGATGTTTGAAAGTAAGAAGGGGCCAGGCTGTGGGACTCAATCTTGTCCCTTTAGAGTGCCCTCGAACAAGACTCGGGATTTGTCTATATTGTCCTGTCCCCATTCCGTCAACAACATTTATGAGGTTTCTTATGACCCAGGCCTGGGGCAGGGGGCCAGGGACAGATGGGGACAGACACAGCATCTATCATCCCAGGGTCATAGTTCCATTGGAAGCAGAAAGATAAGTGCTCAGGTAATTACAGTGTGGGACAAAGTAAATTTGAACAACGTCTCAGGAGGGCAGTCTGGCACTCTGTGTCAGACATAAGAAAGCCCCACACCTTGGAGATGACCCTGCAGTTACACTGGGATGTGTGTACAATAAATATGTACAAGGATATTTGTTGCAGCATTGGTGGTAATAGCAAGAGGGTAGAAATACCCAGCTGCCCATGAGTTGGGAACTGAATAAATTCTAATACTCCCATACCATGGAATACTGTGCAGCTGTTAAAAAATAAGAAGCATATGGAATGCTCTCTATGATATATTAGTGAATAAAAAGAGTAAAGGCAAAAAAAAGTGCATCTAGTGTGCTTTCATTAATGTATATGAAAAGGGGTGAGGTGGATACACAGGTGCCTGCAAAAGCAAGGTGTGTTTCTGGAAGGATGCACGAGAAGCTGCCCATAGTGCTTGCTTTTGGGGAGCAGAACTAAGGGGCTGCAGGTTGGGAGGAGAGAGATTTACTTTTCACTGTCCGTTCTTGAATGTTATTTGAATTTTTAAACACGTATGCATGCGTAAGCTGTTCAAAACCAAATTGATTTAAAAAAATTTAACCTAGTATCAGTGTTATGATAAGGGGAGCATGGAGGCTGTGGGACCACAGAAGATGCCCATCCCAGCCTCTGGGGTCCGGAAGGATCCTGAAATGCAACAATGTCCAAGGATGACCAGGAGTTAGAAGGGGAAGGAGAAGGAGAGCCCTTTCAGGTTCAAGGGTAGGAGAGGGTGTTACGTGTTCTGGGACCCAAAGGAAGTTCTGCGTGGTTGAAGTGTAGCCCAAGTCGGGTGCACGTGGTCATGATGTGAGTCTGGGGAGTAGGTCTGGCAGAGTTGGAATTTTATCCAAAGAGCAGTGGAGAAGCAGTGATGGGAAATGACACGATCAGACCTGCATGTTACAAAGATCACTCAACTGAGAGAAGGCTGGAGCAGTTAGGTGGTCCTGACTGTCATCTAGGTGAGCAAAGAGGGTGGGCTGGATGAGGTGGAGGCAGTCCCCAAGTGGTTCTGGGGGCCTGGAGGGGCTCCCCCTTCCTGCCCTGAGCCATGAGAAGGTGCCTAGAAGGCAGTGGGGGGCCCACAGCAGACCCAGCCTGCTTCCTCCTTTGAGGAGCCAGAGAGGATCTCAGGGCTCCAGCCCAGCTGGGGAGACCTCATGGGATGCAGAAGTCGTCCTGCATTGCCCCTCCAATCAGTCCACGTCCTCCCCTCTTGGCCTCGTCTGCCCTCCTGGAGTCTCAAGAGAGCCACATGGGCAGCCCCAGTGACTGGCAGGAGAGAAAATGCTGCACTTGACCTTCATGTTCATAAAACATCAATGAGGCTTAATATAGCCTGAAGCTGAAATGCCTGGGAATGTGTTTCTTGAGTTTTTATCAGGCCAGGAGATATGGCAGTGAAAGGTGAAATCTCAGAGGAAGGAGCTGAAAAGCTGTGGTCACTCATTCATTCATTCATTCATTTAACACTCACTGAGCTCCTGTCCTGTGCCAGGTCTGTACTGGGTTTTAAGAGAACAGAGATGAATCTGATATAGCCACTGCTCTCCAGAAGCTCAGATTCTAGTGGGAGACATATACATCCAGAGATAAGTACATTAGCCTCAAAATCTCCGTGTACAGCAATATAGGTTGTACACTGCACAAATCTAAGGGACGCTTTTCACATAGACTAAAATGTGAATGGAGTTGTGCAATGATACCTCTTAGTGTGTTTGCATCCTCTGGCAGGAATCTGTAGTGTACATTGGAGGACAAAAGCACTGAGTGGTCAGGCCTCCTAGAGGATCGGGGGGGGGCTTCATGGAGGAGGTGATCTTGAACTGGATCTGGAAGGGGATTTTCAGGAAAACAGGCAAAGGCTATTCCAGAAGGAAGGAGTGTGAGCAATGACCTGGAGATTTGGAAGGGCCTGGCACATTCAGGAAATGTCAAGCATTTGGAGTGGCTAAAATGTTACCATGTGGAGACAGGGACAGTAGAGGGAACTCAATGAAAGATGGAGTCAGTGAGGGGAGAGGAGATGGGTCCTGCTGGGTCTTTTAAGGCAAGTTGAGGAGCTTAGACATTAGCTGAGGGCAGTGAGGAGCCAGGGATGAGTTTTAAGTAGGGGATCGCATGGTCAAGTGTGTATTTGAAGATCTCTCTGGCAGAAGTGGGGAGAAAGGCTTGGAGGGGAGAGAGTGCAGGTGACAGAGGGTGAGTCAAAATCACCCAGGCAAGAGATCAGCAGGGATAGTCAGAAAGCTGGAGCTAAATATGAGAAAGATTACACAGAAGAATCCACAGAACCTGGGACTGATTTGGTGTGGCGAGGAGGGAGACAGAGGGGTTGAGGCATGTGGCTTAGCTTAGTGTGGGGGACGGATGCTGCAATTTGGGGAGACTGCAGGGGAGGAGCAGATGCGGCAGGGCAGTTGAGCCAGGATGTGTTCAAGAAGCCTAAGGGATGTCCAAGTCGAGTTGGGGCTCAAGGCAGAGGATTGGGGCACCACCGCCCGCTTGACCCAACATTACCCAGACTTACTGGCCAAGAATTCCGGAGAAATCCTGCCCCAATAAGGGAACAGAACTCAAGGTGTTATACCATTTAATATTTCTATCTCCTCTTGTAAAAAGCCTCAGTTTACAGTTAGACTTTCAAAGATTTTTGAATTTACGTTATAGGACACGTCCTCTCTTCCATTAAGAATAATTCTCAATGCTGGGCTGAATTCCATCATTGACTCACTCTCTGTCACCATTGCCTTTTTGGCATCAAGGCCAAGTTTCCCAGGAAAGATGGGTCATCGAGTCCCTAAATCTTCAAGGAAGTTGCCTCACCAAAAGTGGAAGTTTCAAGACACCAAAAGCCTCTTACAGTTTTTCTTGCAATAAACAAGTGTTTCCTTTTGGGGCACAGTGAGTGAGCACTAGACCAAGAATCAGAGGACCCAAGTTCAAAACCTCCTCGTCATTTACAAGTGTGGAACATCATGTAGCCCCTCTACAGAAGGGTTTTGGGGGAGACAATTGCTGAAGGATGAGTTTGTCCAAGTTTAGCGTGATATCCATTTCTGGAAAACTCCTCCGTGTTCCCAAGAGTACAGTGTCCTCAGTGAGATGCCCGTGCCCCAGGCGGGTGGCCCTCTGGAACCCACAGCATTCTGATCACTCTTCATTGCTGATCGATCATGCTGTGTCATAGCGATTTCTTCACGTGTCTGTCTCTCCCACTGTCCTGTGCCTAGGGCAGGGTGGCATCTCAGCCATCCCTGGGTTGCAGCCTGTTGTACCTACTGAGTGTTGGCTGTTGATATCGTTCCTTCCCAGGCCAATGTTTGGATGGGACCGAGTTTGTGGGGGAAGGAATGGGGCGACACTGAGTATCAAAAGGACAGGACCTTTCCTATCCTTTCCCCAGGACATTTAGCCAACGCCACCACGGACCTCATGAAACTAGACCATGAGGAGGAACCCCAGCTCTCAGAGCCCTACCTTTCTAAACAGAAGAAGCTCATGGTGAGTGCCTCCAGGCCTGCTTCCCACCATCTTTTCCATGGAAAAGAACAACTGGGAGAAGTTGGTTCTAGTTAGAGGATCAGTGGATGACATGAACTGGAAAACCCACTGGCATGTTTTTCCAGTCCTGTCCCCTCTGTTATTTACTGGGTATGTGACGTTGGGCAAGCCACTGTCCCCCTGGAACCTCAGTTTCACCATGTCTTTGGTTTGCGTCCCTAATCGCAGAGCATTGGACAGAGGTCCTTGGGTAAGTGTGGTCTTGAGGGAGTGCTCTGAGGAGAGCCAGTAAGGATGGGAGGGACAGGGACGAAGCTCTGGAGCATAAGTGGCACCACAAAGTCCATCCACCTTGAGGCAAGCGACCAGCCTTTTATACCCCTGTATCAGTCAGTCATTGGCTACAGATTGCCTGGTGCGGGGTGGAGGGGTGTGGGATAACTTCCCAAGTATTTCCAGGCAGCTCCTCATTGGCCAAGAGCAAGTCTCCGGAGGAGGGGCAGCTACGAGCTGCTATCAACCAACCCTCACAGCAGCTGGTGTATGAGGACCAGCCCCATGAAAGGGATCTGGGCAGGAAGTCAAGCTCACAGGAGTGCTGTGAGCACCAGATGAGGGTGTTTTGTAACCGCAGAGCATCTTCTCCTCTTGAGGAGATATTTGGAGGCTGGGTTTACAGAAGGGGGTTGGGTCAAGCTCTGGTCACCCCAGCTCTACTGAAGCCAACTCAGCTCCTCTGACTCCTGCCTATCCTGCCCCCCAGGCCAAGATCCTGGAGCATGACGACGTGAGCTACCTGAAGAAGATCCTCGGGGAGCTGGCCATGGTGCTGGACCAGATAGAGGCTGAGCTGGAGAAAAGGAAGCTCGAGAACGAGGGTGGGTGCCCGCCCTGGGGTAGATGGGTGCTGGCGCCCATCCAGCCCACCCTGACCCTGTCCAGTCCCAGCCTCCTTGATTCCAAAGATCTCAGAGGCCCTCCCAGGTGATGAGGGTTGTGGGCCATAGAGTCAGACAGACCTAGCTTCAAGTCCCAGCTTGGCCACTCACTAGTTGAGTGGCCATCAGACAGGTACTTCATCTCTCTGGACCTCGGTTTCCATCTATAAAATGGGGATGGTAATAAGACCTACCTGAGAGAGATGTTGAGACATTACCAGAAATAATACATGTATGGTGCTTAGATCAGCAATTAGCACATAGTAGGTATTTAATAAAGGTTGGTGAAGATGATGATGATGGCGGTGGTGGTGGTAACCTTTCCCCTGCTTAAGGATGTATTATGGCTTCTTCATGCTTCGGCCAGACATCCAGGCTCACCCAGACTCTCTGACCTTGACTCTTTCTGTTCTCAAGTGGCTTTCTTCTCTGAACCCTGAGGGAACGCCAGCCTCATTGCCACCTCCACATCTTTGCTCCTGCAGCTCTTCCAGCCTGGAGCCCCCTCTCCACACCACTCGGCTCCTTTTTCCTTTTACATTCCATCTTTGCCACAGTCCTTCCAATGTCATCCTGAACCTTCCCACTGCTCTGTGTTAGGCAGCCTATGAGTCTTGTCTATTCAACTATGCAAATTTATGGAGCCTATGCTGCTATCCTTATAGCTTACACACACACACACACACACACACACACACACACACACACACACATCTACTGTGTGTATATTGGAAAGTTGTGGAGCACAGTGTTCTAAAAGATGAGTTTACAGTCAGACAGATTTGAGTTAGAGTTCCAGCTTTGCTGCCTCTATTGTGTGACTTGGACAAATTGCTTTCCCTACTGGAGCCTCAGTTTCCTCATCTGTAAGATGGGATGATAACCATGCAACTTAAAACCTTAACCCCACCTTGTTGGACTCTTGTCATAATTAAAAGCACTCAACACGGTGCCTGGAACATACTAGTTTAATACATATGACAGTAAAAGGCATGTACATCCTCCAGATGAAGAAACTGAGACCCGGGGAGATGAAGTGACTTGCTCAAGGTCACACAGCTGTGTGGCTTTGGCTAAGTTACTGAACCTCTCTGTGTCTCCATTTCCTCATCTGTAAAATAGGGATAACAAAAGCACCCAGTGGATAGGATTGTTGTGAGGATTAGGGAAATCACACCACGCTCTCCTCGCAGGGTGCTCCTCCTTGTGAAATTTTGCTGGTGTCTCTTCATTGCCCAATATCTAAGCCTTGAAGTGCCCCAGGGCTCAGTGCTTGGTCCCGTTTTCAAATCTGTCCAGTCTGTAGCTGGGGACTCCCACCCCTGATCCTGCCTCCTTTCACTGCCCTGCACCCCCATCATGCTCACCTCCCCCTGTACTGAGCGGTACTTCCCTGATCATCATGAAGACTCCCTTGCTTGCATCTTCTCTTGCTTCATTATACTCATTTTGCAAAACCTGAAACCGGGGCAAGCCCAGCTCTCCACCTGTTCAGCACCTGCACCTGTGAACCTACATGGGGCTGAGAAACACACGAGGGTGCTGGCTGCTCTCACTTTTGGATTCATGACCACTAGCCTTAGGCGACCTTCCTGCCGCCTTGGGCCTCCCACAGTCCGCCTTCCAGATGACTATTTAATACCTTCTCCTTTCTCCTCAACCCTCCAAACGCTTCGCCCACATCCTCACTCCCAAAGGATCGCTTTTTTTGTATATCACTGAGAAAACAGAAACATTAGGAAGAGACCTTCACAGCTCTGATCCTCACACCTACCTACCCATCAGCACTAGTGTCCATACAGACACTGTATTTTATCAATTCTAAGGTGCATCTTTGTTAAATCATACCTTACCATCTCTGACACTGGAATGCTCCTCAATCAGTGGTTTAACTGGCATCACTTGTTCTCTGCAAGGTGGATATCTTACGTTTGATGGCAACTTGGATTTGATGCACTGTGGTACCCCGCACTCCCTCTTATCACCAAGGCTGAGCTGTCCTTGACTGGATAAGACCAGCCCCTTTCCTTGTGTCCTAGGTGCCATCCACGCTCATCCGCTAAGGGACATCACATGAGGAATTCTCCCCACTCTCTCCTGTGGAATCATTTCCCCCCTCGCTAGAACATTCCCACCAACATGCTGGGTTTTTTCCTCCCAACGTACAAAAACACTCTTGACTGGTCTCAGGTTATTAGTATGTCCTTCCCATCACAGCAAAACTCCTTGAAAGAGTGATCTTTGCTTGCCGTCTCCAATTTTTGTCTCTTTCTCTCTTGGACTCCTTCCAATCAGGCTCTTGTTGTCAGCATCTGCTCCAGCTGCTCTTATCAAGGTCACCAGCTGCCAAATGCAATCACCGTTCTCAGGCCTCCTCTTGACCTCTCCGCAGCATTTAAACCCAGCTGAGCACTCCTTTCTCCTCGGGACACTTTCTTATCTTGGCTTCCAGGACACCCCACTCTCCTGGGTCATCGCCCACCTCCCAGGCTGCTCCTTCTCGTGCTCCTTCACTGGCTTCTCTTGTTGCCCAATATCTAAATCTCGAAGTCCCAAAACTCAGTCCTTGCACTTATAAAGAATCAGTTGATTTAAAGAACAAAATGATTCTAGGGGTGATGTAAGGATGTGGTGAAACTCATTCAAGTTGTACAGGAGTGAATGACCTTGGGAAACACAATGGCAGGCAGACACACACCAGAGGAGTCCATGAGAGAGGATGTCTCCTGCCCCCACCCGCCATCTCCTCTGTCTTCCACTCTAGGACAGAAATGTGAGCTGTGGCTGTGTGGCTGTGCCTTCACCCTGGCTGACGTCCTCCTGGGAGCCACCCTGCACCGCCTCAAGTTCCTGGGACTGTCCAAGAAATACTGGGAAGATGGCAGCCGGCCCAACCTGCAGTCCTTCTTCGAGAGGGTCCAGAAACGCTTTGCCTTCCGGAAAGTCCTCGGTGACATCCACACCACGCTGCTGTCAGCTGTCATCCCCAACGCGTTCCGGCTGGTCAAGCGGAAACCGCCATCTTTCTTTGGGGCCTCCTTCCTCATGGGCTCCCTGGGCGGGATGGGCTACTTTGCCTACTGGTACCTCAAGAAAAAATACATCTAGAGCCAGGCCTGGGCTTGGTATCTGACTGCCAGTGTCTCTCTGTGCTGTGTGATCCCCAATGAGCTCTCAGTAACGCACTGTCTCATGAACTCGGACAGCCTTTCCCCGCCCCTTGTTTGGAGTAATTCTATCGTCAATGTGAAAACATTCCATAGTTTAGAAGTAGACGTTGCCAATGCCGTGAGTTGAGGCCACGGCTCTACTAAAGGAGAGAAAGAGTAAGAGAGAGAAAGAAAAAGAGAGAGAGAGAGAGAGAGAGAGAGAGAGAGAGAGAGAGAGAGAGAGAGAGATCAGAAACAAAGCACGAATGCCTTTTCTTTCGATTCAAGGTCTCAAGATGGAACTGTGGGGACTGGTTAGGATCTGAGGTGAGTCCCAGGATGTTTCACCCACCAGGGCCCAGATTCTGGGAGGTGCTGGGGGCTCAGAGGGCCTGACCCCTCACCTCCCCTCCCTCTTGCCCAGGGAACTCTTCCACAGGACAAAAGCCAACATCAAGACTCAACTCTTCTAGCCTCCAGGTGGGGCTAGAGACCCGGAGACCCCATGGAAGGCCCCTGAAGATCAGAAGGGGCTTCATTCTTCTCCTGGACATGGACTGAGACAGCACTGGCTCGAGCCAAGACAGTGGCACCCAACCACCAGGCCACGACTGGGACCGACACCATGGGCACACCCTCATTCCCGCCCTGATGTGGCCAGTGAGTTTGGTTTGGCATTTTACTGGTAATCCCTGAAGGCAGCATCCATTATCCTCTTCCCACCTGGAGTTGAGTTTTCCTACCATGTGAAGTGGACTTTCAGTAAAAGCCATGTTGACCTTAGAAGGTCAGTCCCGGCCCGAGTGCAGGGGTAGGTCTGGAGGGGGATGAACCTCAAGTCCCTCTCCCAGCCTCTGCCAAAGCCATCTCCTTTAATGCCCACCTTTCCCATCACTTGTGGGGCTCCCCTGCACGCCCCACCATGCCACGCTGCCTGCCCTGGTCGTGTCTCACTTTCCTGTGCCTTTTGCATGTTGGGAGAAAGTCTGGGTGTCACTGCCGCTCATGCTTAGAAACCACTGAAAGCCCCCAATAAAGCATCCAGGAGAAGCAGTCGCTTTTCATTTCTAAACCTGTGTGGTCCATCTAGCTCTCATTTCCAAAAGTTGGTGCTAGAGGGGTAGAGACACGTGGTGCAGACTCAACGCCCTGAGCTAGCAAGAGTTGAGTGCAGGTCTCAAGTTGCTGAGTGTGGGAATGGCTTCTGGGTCGACTTTGCACAGCTTTGCCCTTGACGTAAGCCCCACCTCGCTTGGACACAGTGCTTCACAGTTTACATCCAGATGAGTCAGTTCATGCCCTCACCCGTTCACCCCTGCATCAGTGCCCAGCAGCATGGGGATACCAGACAGAAATAGCATGCTCAGAAAATGCAAGCAGAGGGCAAGCAGGGATGAAAGGAGTGGTTGGGAAATGGGCCACGGCAGCTTGGTTGGGCAAGGCCTGAATAACTTTGCTCTAGAAATTAAGATGCTAATTAGAGGCTCCCAGGCACCCCCACCTACTCACCTCCTGGGCACTCAGACACATACCCCAGGCAGCCACACCCTGGCAGAGAAGACAGCGGAAGTGCCAAGGCCCCATGGTAAGGCTCCCAGCTCAGGCCCCGAAAATACGCAGCCTGGAAACCAGGTTCAGGCAGCCCTTGGATTGCCTGGGAGTGGACAGCACCTCACAGAGGGGGACCTGCTTTATCTTGTCCACAAAGACCCCACGGGCACACTATGTCTTTTCCTTTCGGCTCTCCTGGAAAACACCTCTCTCGCTCTCTTCTACCTCCTATTTAATTCTGAAACCAGACTGCAGTCTCGGGGACTCCATTCCCTGCTGTATCACTGGCACAGGGCCTTCCACATTCATTGACTGCATTTTAACTACCTCTGAGTTGGGGTTTCTTTGTCCTGATTTTAAAGTCGTTACGGTAATGAGGACACATTAGGGATGACCTGTGCACTTGGAAGACATTTACACAGCACCTCACATATACTAGGTCCTGTTCTAAGTAAGCACTTTACAAGCACCCATTCATTTAATCCTCACAACAACTCCATGAGGTAGTTAATTATGTTATCCCCATTTTACAGGTAAGGAAATTGAGGCTGAGAGGTTGTTAGGGAACTGTTGAAGGTGACACAGCCAGTGTGTGTGGCCAGAATTAGAACTCAGGCAGTCCATCTGGCCTGAGTCCACTCCTTTGCTTTTCTAAGTTTGTGTAAATCATCTCTACCCGAGCCGTGACAAGATTAGGGCAGGTTGGGGGAACACCCTGTTTCTGACACTTGGCAAACTGGAGTTGCTCACCCGTTGTCTGTGCCCAGCAAGACTGAAAACTCCCTGAAGGCACCACTGAATTAACGCTGTGCCTGGTTCACTCAGTTCTCCTCCACTATTGGGGTGGGGAACATTCAACGAGGCGAAGCACGATAACCCCCATCTTACGCTTCAGAAACACAGGCTCAGAGAGCCCGACCTGATGGAGGCACACGGCTATGAGTTACAGTCAGCACAAACCCAAGTCTTTCTGCCACCAGATCCCGGGCTAAATATGACACCATTTATTCTTTGCAGTGACTGCATTATATTCCTAATATAGAGTTACCATAATTGAACTGATTGGCATTTGTGTGCTTGACAATTTTTCACCATTACAAAAAACTGCCATAAAATCTTTGTCCTTGTCTTTGCCCACTTCTAAGAGTAATTCCTTAGCCCACATCCCCAGACTGCGATTGTTGGGTCTGAACTGTTCAGGTTTGGATGCTACTGTGTTACTATCTAAACATATAGGACCAATTTACCACCACCTCCTCCCCCCAACGTTAAAACTTGCCCAAGGTTTACTAGGGGTTTCTGGGACAATTTCTGAAAGTGACTATACCGCACAGGGTTTCTCTTAATAAAATCTACCTTCTCCTAACAGCTATCAAAACTGGATTGATTTTGGAGCCTTTTTTTTTTTTTTTAAGGTTTCTGCAGTTCACCCCTCTGGGAATCAATTTCAGCTCCCCATGTCCAGTAAGTCCAGGTGAACCCCTGCCATCGGGTTTAAACTACATTAGACTGTTGACGAAGGAAAAAAAGGGGGGGGGTGACAAAGGGCACCCAGAGGTCGGCTCCTCCATCATTCACCTGGAAACCAGCTGCCACCTCAGCTCCGAGTGGGAGTTTCTTTTCATGTTGTTTCCCAAAATAAAAGTCCTAACCAGCTTGGGAGGAATTTTTCATCAAGCAGAACAGAGAAACAGAATAGAAGAGTTGGTGAGAGTATCCAGCCTGTTACCCTTATTTATCAAATAAGGAAATTGAGACCCCGAGATGCTGAGTGATGAATTCAGTGACAGGGAAAAGCCAAAAAAGCTGTGGCAGAAACCAGCTCAAAGCCAGGCACTCTAACGTCTGGCTGAGTGCTCTTTATATATTATATGGACAATCCTGTAAGTCTGCCTTTCTTCAAGCCCCATTGCTTTTGAAAATGATGGAAGTTAGGTTTCTTGAGAAGGGACTTTGCAACCCCAGCCCACACCTTAGGCTCTCAAGGGACTGACTTTGGACCACAAACTCCACGAGGTAGGGTGTTTATCATCCTACCCAGCTCCTGGCTCATAGTGTGAACTTAAGAAGGGTTCATCGCTGCTGAAGGAATCCAACAGGGAATTCTTGTTGTGTGAGGAGATTCTAATCTTGGAACCATTCAGCTTTTGACAGATGCTACCTGGAGGTGCCAAGCACGTCCGGCCGACAAATGAGTGGTCACTAAAAGGTACCAAAAGCCATTACACGTGTCTAGGCCTCCAGGACTGAGGCACTTTCAAAGATGACCGACTTTTGAGTGAACTGTGTTAACTGCTTTTCAGTATCACTTCCATAAGGCTTACCTCTTCTCCTTCTGCCAAGAAAACTCCCAAATCTGGCTGATCCAGGGGTCTAAGACACAGATATGGTAGAGGGAAAGAGTAAATCAAGCTAAAAAATACGTGATTGGGGGCCGGCCAAGTGACTCAGTTGGTTGAGAGCTTGCTCAAGAGTGCGAGCTCTGAGCAACAGTATCGCCAGTTCGATTCCCACATGGGCCAGTGAGCTGCGCCTGAGCTGAGCTGACACTGAGCTGCCAACAGGTGGCAGGATGGCTCAGCTGGTGAGAGTACGTGCTCCTAACAACAAGGCTGCCTGTTCAAGATGGTGGGCTACGCCTGCCTGCAACTAAGACTGAATTCAGCACCTTGAGCTGAGTTGCCACCCAGATGGCTCAGTGGATAGAGCATGCGCTCTTAACGTGGGGGCTGCTGGTTCGACTCCTGCATGGGATGGTGGTTACGCCCACCTGCAATTTATTGAACACAGCACCTTGAGCTGAGCGGTGTGACTGGACTTGGAGCTGAGCTAGCTGCGCCCTCCACAACTAAGATTGAAGGACAACAACTTGGCTGTTCCCCTTCCCCAATTCCCCAACACTGTTCCCCTCCCCTAATTCCCCAACACTGTTCCCCTCCCCCAATTCTCCATAAAATCTTAAAAAAAAAAAAAGAAATACATGACTGAACATATATTTAGTTTACAGGATTTAGGAGGAAAAGTAAGAGTAACTACAGCCATTAAATACCCCAAATATAACAAATAGCTCAAGAAAGAATTACACTTTCATAGTGGACAGAGCTTATTCAGTTCTGGACTTCCTGAAGGGTATTAGAAAGGAACAAACGAGAGCTGGCTGAGTGGCATGTTGGTTGAGAGCTGGCTTGGGACGCCAGAGGGCCCTGGTTCGGATCCCACATATGAAGGCCAGTGACACTGCCCTCTACAGCTAAGATGCTGAACAACAGCTCAACCTGGAGCTGGGCTGCCATGAGTCGCCTGCGACGGCGTAGGCTGCAGCCCCAGCTGCAGTGGGTTGCCATGGGCTACCGTGTGTAGCCAGCAGCCATTGTGAGCGGCCAGCAGCTGCCGTGAGTGGCCGTCCAGAAGCCGGCAACTGATCTGCCTCTCCCGGGAAGAGCGCAATGATAGTGCCAACTTGGGCCAGTGAAGCAATGTCCTCCACAACTAGACTGAAGAACAAAAGGACAGCAACTTGTCTGTTCCCATCCCCCAATTCCCGAATAAAAAATAAAAATAAAAAAAGGAACACACGACACGCTGCGATGTGTGATTTCATTATCTCCAGTTTACTTGGTTTGCTTGTTTACACACGCTATCTGTGTGTATATAACAGTGGCAAGAGCCATTCTCTAAATACAATCTGGTACTCAGACTATGACAGATGCCCATGGAAAAGGAGGCGCCCGTGAATGAGCCTCAACGTGGAGAGGCACAGCGAGCATGGCAGTATTCTGTGACGACAGGGGCCCTCACAAGCCCCTTGTTCAGTACCTGAGACAACAGGCTCTTTTCAAAAGACAATACAAGGCTATTTCAACAGGAGACCCAGACCCCAAATGGCATTCAAAAGATGTTGGTTTCTCTGCCTTCTCTGGAAGAGCCACAAGGTTCTGAAGGCTTAGTCAAGACAAAGGGGACATGTGCTGGGCATTTGGCATGCATCACTTCCCTTCATCCTAACAGCACCACGTTCATTTCACAGATGAGGAAAATGAGGCGTGCCCATGGTCAAACAGCTGTCAGTCGTGGTACCATGATTTGAACCTATATCTCACATTTGCCATGCCCGAATTCACTCAACTATGCCACGCTGTCTCACACAGGGACAGAAGGCACATTCCCAAGAGAAAGGCAGGGGTGCTAAGAATGAACAGGAAGTAGTAGAAGACTAACCAATGTATAAGGCTTGGTAATCGAATGCTGAACCTGAATCAGACCCAGTCACAGAAATATCTGGAGGTTGAAGTGTGACAAATGAACTTCTGGAGTCACCCTGTGCTTGTTGCCCTTTGGTGCTAAACATGAAACTTGGGAGAGACTTCAATCCCTTTAACAAGCTCCTGCCACCTACCCTACCCGCCCACTTCCACCCCATTTTCACTCCAGAGGGCAAAGAAATCTCATGGGGCCATCGCACCATGCCAATGCTCCCAAGGCTCCGTGGTGACACGTGGGGACAATCTCATTGCCCCGTGTTTCTGCCACCTTCTTCTATTGTAATACAAGGTATCATACCTCACATTTTGATCAATACAAAGTAACTTGCAGCTCAGCTGGATACAAACTACATATTTTACATACATCTTTATATGAAATACAATTTTCCAGAGCTCAAGGAAACAATCGAAGCTTGAGCTAAGCAGTGAGTGTGCTTTATCAGTTAAGGCTATTATCAGGCTTGACTGGGGGGCAAGGGGGGCATCAAAGAAGCTTCAAGGATGATTATCCAAAATGCAAGGGGCTGTTTGAAAGGCTTAAAGAGAGAGCCTGGGGGAGGCGGGGAGGGTACTTATCAGAGCATGTAACTGCCTTTGTGAAGTGGAGGTGACAGGATTTCTAACCCTTTCCAGCACTCTCACATGGAAGACCACAAAATGACAATCTGGGAAATTGAGAAGTGCTGGAAAGCGGTCAAAAAAGGCTGATTTCAAGACCAGTAGAATAGGCTTGGGTTTGGTTTACTTTTGATGGTGGTTCAGATAAGAGGAGGGTGGAGTCAAAGTCATGCCACCATCTGATAAGGACATCTTAGCACACAGCTTAGCTTGTTGCCATCAAAGGCAAACAGGAAGTCATTTTCCTTCACTTCTGACTTATCCTAATCTTGTCCAAAAGGTAAAAAATGCCTTAGGTCGGGGCAGACTGATCAATGAACTTATCATATGAGACCAAGGAAGGGTGGTCAGGGAAGCTGCAGTGCAATTACGCATTCTGTAAAATTACTGTCAGCTTACAATGTATCAAGTTATTATGAAAATGTCTACTTTGGGGGTTCTTTCTTAAGAGAGAAAACAGCCCCATGAGGTGGAATTTAATACCACAAGCCAAGAGTTTGGTTTATAAAAAGTAAGTTAGTGTTCTAAAAAAAAACCTCAAAGCAATGTACACATGTGCCAAAGTGCAGCAGCGGAGTTGAGAGCTTTTTTCAGTTCTGTCCACAGAGAACAAATGCCATAGTTGTTACTAAAAACCATAAAGCACTCACTCAAGATAGGAGGAGAAAAAGGGGAATCTTACTGCTCCAAACACCAACAGACGACACAGACAAAACATTATCAATGTTCATTACATAAAAATCATCCAATATTCAGTCGCAGAGGCACTCCAGTTTAACTGTTTTGATAGCTAATCACAAGTCAGTTGTAATATCTAACCTTCCACGGATGAAACAAATGCTGACAACAGAGGGTGTCTTTCAGGCAATGGTTGGTTGATTTGTAAAGAGCCCTGCTGGAAATACATGCTTACGCAAAATGGACCAGAGGGAAATAGTGTTTAAAAAACAGCATTAACAGCCATTAAAACAAAAGACAGCTAGAATCAGGGAGAGAAGACGGCAGCAGAGAGGAGTCCTGAGGCCCTGGCCTCCCCTTCAGCTACGACGGAGGCTTTCCTGCTTCTGTCCTCTCACCGAGTCTTAGCTCTGCCCTCTAGGGACAAAAGAGATGGTCCAGATTAAGGTCAAGTCTTGCCAGGGACAAAAAGTACCCGACTGGGAATGGTGGTGCTTATGACACAGGGTGACATCACCAAGAACAGTCTGGGGACTGAACTGGCTCCCCGGCCTCCACCATCACCCACTAAAAGTGCCTGGTAAGCTTCCTCTCTGAAGCAGGATCAATAATTTAGTTAAATAACTCAGAAAAATAAATGAAAAAATATATTAGCCATTGTCCTGCGGTCACCCCTTTTGCTTCTATTTCTTATAACTGTCTTGCTTCAAATTCAAACTAGAGCTCTGGGGAGGAAGTCCTGGGGAGAAAGATTTCAGATACCAAAACCCATAGGTCCCATACCAGCCCAGCAAACCGAACAGGGTGCCAAACACTTTCTGGGACAAGTCGTGGAAATACACAGCTGTGCACAGAAACATGCACACCCAAATGAGAGTCAGGAAGCCCAGGGCGACGACCAGGGTGGTGATGGCGGCGTGGAGGTGGTGGCTTCGGTCCGTCTTCACCTCGTGCAGCACAGCCATCTCCTCCACTATCATGAGGGCGCAGAAGGTCAGCAGGAAGGAGTGGCCTGAGATGTCAAAGCCGTGCCAAAAGCCTCCTTCCCGGTGGCACTGCTGCTTACTCGGGGACTCCTTCCTGATCCTCTCCAGGGCTGGTGACTGGTAGCAGCTGCCCGTGTAGTGTTCGATGTTGGAGAAGATGGCTGTGCAGACATACCAGATGGCCGTCCCCACAAGCAGGGTGCTCAGCCGCCGCAGGACCAGGCCAACCTTGCCTGTCAGGTGGTAGTTGGTGAGGGCAATGAAAGGCAGGAGGAGACAGAAAGTCCAGGCCCAGGCCACTTTGACAAAATACCTGGCAGGGAAGGAAAGCGGAAGTGAAGACAGGGGACTCGGTGGAGAGGAAAAACAATGTCATGACTCAGGTCTCTAGACTTTCAAGGGGTGGGGGTGGGGGGGGTGGGGAATGAGGAAAGTTGATAAAAGCTACCAATAACAACTTACTACATACTTTAACTGTGTTATCTATTTAATCCTTAAATAACTCTATGTATGAGGTAGATATTGTTATTATCCCCATTTTACAGATGAGAAAACTGAGGCGCAGAGAAGTATCGTGCCTAAAATGGAGGTCATAAGTCAGGGGCTGGGATTCAAATCCAGCGTCTGTGATCTTAAATTAAGCACTATGCTATTTGGCCAGGAAAGTAATAAAATAACTCAGCATCTACCAAATGCCAAGAGCTTTTCATATACTCACAATCACCCTGGTTTAATATGTGAGTGTGACCCTGGGAACCTGGCCCCATTTTATAGATAAAGAATCTAAGGCTCAGGTTCCCAGGGTCACACTCACATATTAAACCAAGATTTGACCAGCCCCAAAGCTCACGTTTTTTTCTACGCTATGGTTCTCGCTCACATGGCAGAAAAGGTCTTGGACCAGCGCTTGACTTCACGCTAGCACACCCAGCTTCAAATCCTGACTCCGACTTGTTACTACGCTTCTCTAGGCCTCAGTGTCCTCAGCTGTTAAACAGAACTGAGAGGACGAAATGTCTTTTTTAATCCCTTCCAAGAGCCAATGATTCAGTAGTTCCCTTCCATGAATTAGCACGCAGAGGTTTGGAACAAAACACCAGAACCCATGGCTATCAGCAAACAACAGGGACTTGTCTGCCAGGCTGCTTGGCTCTCAGCTTACCCAGGCCAGATAAAGCAGCAGCTGCCTGTCTGCCTCCCTTGCACTCATCAAAGGTGGCTGACCTGGGGACCAGCTGCGGTAAACACACATCCAAGAGACTTGGGGCTACTACCACTCTCATCATCTATTCTTAGCCCGGCTTCCATAGTGGGGAAGGAAGGAAGGTGGGTCAAGGACAGGACGACTCTTTCCCGGGCTCCAAAATTTTCTCAGACACCACTCAAGGGCCTGTCCTAAAATTCCTCCCTGAGACTAACACGCAACGATCTTGCCAGGGCCAAGGCCTGTCAGGCACTTGACGAAGTTGCTCGGGAGAGAAACCAGGGTTTTAAGTAGATAACCGCAGTTGGGCTGACTTTTGGGAGATGTGGCTGACACTGAAATTCTAAGGAAGAATCCAGGCCCACATCAAGGCAGAAGTTTTACCTTTCAGAGTTTCCGTTTTCTACTGCAACAGTGTTTTCATGCAATAAACTTAAAATCCAGGAGTTCAGAGAAAAAAAAAAAAGAAAAGAAAAAGGAGTGGGTGATGTTAAGGCGCTGTCTCAAAGAGCCCAGCTGAGATTGCTTTCCTGGTTGGCTGCCATGAACTTTGAGCGGCTGAGAAAGTCCAAGGAGATCCAGGGAAAAGGTCACAGACTGGAGGGTTCCACTCCCCGGGGAGAGTTTCTTGCAGTGGTGTGGGGTTTCTGTCCTAGGCTGGGAAAAGGCTCTCAAAGGTCGGGGGTGGGTGTGGGTGTGGGTGTGGGTGTGGATGTGGGGATAGGGTGGGTGTGGGGGAGGGGAGGGGGGCAGATCTCTCACAGGTGGTGATGGGACTGTCACAAGCTGGGGGTATCGGGCTTACGATGGAGGCGTGGGGAATCACACAAGCATGCAGGAGGGAGGTGGCATCTCCCCCAGGGCACGGGCCAACTCCTAACTCTAAGGGGAGGTGCGGAGAGCAGCGGCATAGGCTGGTTCATACCCCCTTCCCACCCTGCACCCCTACATACACGCGCAGACCTTCACACAATCCTGCTTGTCACTTCCTGCCCAGTCAAGCTCAGCTGTCTCGTTTGGGTGTGCACACACGTACTGCTAGCGACACTAGCTATTCCGACGTCCCTTCGGTCGCGACACGCGCGCGTGCAGATGCCATCACGACTGGGAAGCCTTCCCCTTCCAATGACCCGTCCATCCCAGTAGCTCACCCCCAGCTCCCTGGACGAGGCTATAGCGGGGACAGGAGAGGACCCCAGGGCGCACTCACACGTTGAGGACGTTGCGCTTGTTGCTGAGGTAGCTCTCGGGAAGCGGGGAGAGCTCCTTGAGAAGGGAGCCTGCCAGCATGGAGGCCACCAGCCCCCAAGGGAGGTAGCGCCGCACCGCCGCCCGCACCAGCGTCCCTCGGAAGATCCACGCGCAGCGCTCCAGGTGCTCCATGCCGAGCCTCGTCGGCCACCGTCCGTCTCCCCGTGCCGTCTCGGCCACCGTTCTGGTCTTCGCCCGGGCCCGCGCCCCCGCCCCTCTTCCGGCGCATGCGCGCCGCCCGCAGGCCCCGCCCCTGGGAGGTGCTCGCGCTCCCTCTCTTGGCCATTGGCGGACTCTGAACTCTTCTCTCCGCGCCTGTGACTTCCTCTCCGTCCCGCCCACCCGCGACACTTTCCGAGTGTGGTAGGTACGAATCTCAGCCTGTGCGTCTTGCTCTCGGCCGGGGGCAAGCTCTCGTGGGAGTATTTGCTGGAGGCGGGAAAGAATAAATGGAGCGCTGTAGGAATCAGAGCAGTAGTCACAGCATCTATGAGACATGGAGACGCCTCCTCCGCCTGAGCCTTAGTGTTCTCTTCTGTAAAGTGGGGAGTCAAGGGGAGCGCAGCCCTTCCCAAAAGGTAGCGTATGAACTCGAGGTTCATGATGTGGATGTAGGTAGGGGGCCATGAACTCAAATTTAGTTAGAAAATAAAAGCGTAAAAATAATTATTAAACTTAACATTTCAATTATTAGATTTAGTTTCCCTTTTAAGACACCTGTGTGTATTGAGTGGAAATGCGGGATGGGGGGAGTTCATGGAGCTCACACGAGGGTGCTGAAGACTCAGCCACTCCGTTTATCGCAGAGCTAAGTCCTCTCCTTGTCCTGGGTGCCTAAGTCAGCATTGCCCAACCTCAGGTCATTTCTTTGCCACGGTGTTAGTTTCCTAGGGCCGCCATAACAAATTACCACGAACTTGTTGGCTTCAAACAACAGAAATTTATTCTCTTGACAGTTCTGGAGACCAGAAATCGGAAATCAAGCAATGGGTAGGGTTGGTTCCTTTAGGAGGCTATGAGAGAGAATCCCTTCCATGGCTCGCTCCTAGCTTCTCGTGACTGCCTGTCAAATCCTCGACCTTCTGTGGCTGGTAGCTGTAGAACAGCAATGTCTGCCTGACTTCACGTGGTCCTCTTCTGTGTCTCTGTGTGTCTTCTTCTGCCTCGTATCTGGACACTAGCCATTGGAGTTAGGGGCCACTCTAAATCCAGGATAATCCCATCTTGAGATCCTTAATTATATCCGCAAAGACGAATTGCAGATAAGGTCTCATTGCCAGGTTCCAGGGGTTAAGACTGCGACCCTCCTTTTGGGAGTCATCATTCCACCCATTACAGCCCACTTAATTTGCTTTTGCTCTGTTCATATACCAATACTATTATTTACTATGCACTTTTCTTTAAACAACACATATTTAAAACTTAAATATGTACTGAGTCGCTTCCCAGGCAAAAACATCCACGGAGTCATGGATTCTGTGTGCCAGTTATATTTCTTCTATTACAAATAAAACATTTCTATTGAAACGTTCATCATCTCTAGCTGCCTTAAATAATCTCATGCACCCATACCAAGGATATATATAGCTGCCACCCTTTGGGAACCAGTGGCCTGATTTATGCCTATAATGGACTGATGTTTAAAAATCCCCCATGTACAGAATGAATCAAAATAATGAGAAGAAAAGTATTCATTCCTTAAAAGCATCTCAAGATGATCCTCATATCTGTAAATTGCATTTAACTGATGAGAGTTCTTATGTAGCAAGATGTCTCCAGGCCTTCAAAAAGCTAGGTTTAAAAAAGAAAATATAGTGGTGATTATACCAATTTGTCTTTTTGTGATTGGCAATAAAAACTACACAAGCGGAAAGATGGTATTGTTATGGTATCTGAAATCATCAGTATCTCCTGAAGATTGTCAGGTATTCAGTTATTGTTTCTATAGCAAGCTGTATAACAATTAAGAGCAGTGAGGTACACTGGACATTATTAACTAAGTGGTTCCTCCAGTGAAAACCCAGATGGTGATCCCCCATCCTACCCCCCCCCCAAAAAGGGGAAAGAGTACTGGGTGACAGAAACCGTAGACATCACCCAGAGGAGCTATCCAAAATATGCCCCCTGAATGTTTCAGGGTTTGTGTTTCTGTCAAAAGAAAATCGGTTCGTTTCATTTAAGACTATACAGCTTCATCCCTGGAGATTCCTGAAGACTGCGTTGTACCCAGACCTGAAAAATTGTACATATCTAGACAAGTTTTCATCTTTTTTTTTAAACTTCCACCCATATTAGGAAATACACATTTATATTAGTTTAATGGTATGCTGGAGCCAACTCATCCATGCCTGTGAGAACTGATAGTTAAATTTTCAAGACTTTGCAAGCTAATTGTTAAACACGGCCATTATTAAAAATTACTTTACATAAACTAACAAACTCAAAATAATTACTCAAAACTTATCATTTTCTAATTGTTTTACTGTATTATTATCTATGATCTTGGGGTTACTTACATCTATTATATCTGTGCAACTACTGTGCAACTCTTTCAACTCCATGCTTAGTGACAGCACCTTGGTGGCTCGACATCGGGGAAATTGGCAAGTGCTACAAATCAGGGCTTTATTAGATTGGAATGCAACTACATTTGTCAAAACATGGTTGAATTGAAACTATAGGTTGGCTGTGGATACAAGAGTCCAGCAAAAATCCATGAAAGCATCCTGCAAGACTCATTTCACTATATAGAATTTACAATAAAGAGCATTTTGTATTTCATTATTTGTAATTATGTGCTACACATTATATTATGAAAAATTTATAATAAACATATATATGGTATACATTTTTCCCTAGAGCACTAGTTGTTAAATATTTATCAACAAATCATTGGCGGATGATCCAGTACACAGATAAAAATATATATGTAGCATATAAGTGAATATGCCCAGGGTGCCAATAAAATGTACACAAGTGGACACTTCGGTCAATGTTGCTCAAGCAGTAATTCGCCATAATCAGAAGCGTCTGAACGCTGATGGTAACCACTTTGAGCAGCTATTGTAATTGCAGAAGTCAAACGTGACTTGTATTCATCTTTTGCTATCGTTATATATTGAGTATTACAATCTTAATACAGTTTTCCTTTCTTAAAATGTGTATACGTTTTTTTGGCACCCTCTGTATATGCCAATAGACATATAGATATAACTATAAATATAGCTTTATGACAGTTCATGACAGAATTTGCCTCCACTCTGCGTAAGGAACCCTGATATTTTCTATCCAATTATAAATTCAATTAAAAATGCTGGTTATGACCCACTGAATTGATTTTACAACTCACTAGTGAGTGGGGAGCTGTAGTTTGAAAAACACTACGCTAGATTTTCAAGCATTGGAGGATGATGCCCTGCCCTTGACCACCAGAGGGTGATAGAGGACCACAAATACCACGGTTTTGCCCTGCCTGAAACTTCAGTGGTACCACCTGTTTCTTGGTTCTCATTCCTTCGTTTATCTATTCAACAAATATGCATACTTGTTAGAAGTATACAGTCTCTGGCCCAGGGAACTTAAAATCTAGTGAGGTGGTAATCATTAATTTATTCAGCCAACCAATATTTATTAACTGTTTACTATGCACCAAACATTGGGACCTCCCATGTTTCAGATAAGTGAGTTTCCTTAATAACCGCAGATTTATCACCTTTTAAAAACACAATTTCCCAGGTTTGAGGAAGAATGTACGTGTTGAAGCTGGACCGTCTTGTCAAACTCAAAACAAGGAAGCCATAAGCTGTCAAAAGACCAGTAAGGTTGTTTCAGGAGAGCACAGGAGCCAATAGAAAGGCTCCCACGGGCCAAAGATGGGGCATTTTGAGCATAAATAATAATAACTGCAATGGATGGAAACACACACATATGTTTAAATCCATGGATTCATAATGGTACTTCAAAAAGTAATGGCCACCTTTGAAGGAATCAACTCATTATTTTGAAAACTAGTAAATAAAGGGAAAGAAACCAGCATTTTTCCTGGCTCTCCTATGGGAACTGAACCACTGAATAACCAAAGAGTAGACAGTTTCTTGTTAAAGAAATCTCAAGTAATAAATGGAGAATTTGAATATCCCCATAGGTAACATGGGAGTAAAAATGTTAGTTTGGAATATTGGTGAGTCAGAGTCCTTAAAAATGAGTCAGGAAGGGCCGGCCGAATGGCTCAGTTGGTTAAGAGCTCGCTCAAGAGTTTGAGCTCTGAGCAACAGCGGCTCGATTCCCAGCCCGAGCTGAGCAGCCGCTGAGCTGCCAACTGGTAGCAGGATGGCTCAG